AGCAGGAGTGCACCCTACTCACCCGCACCATGCTGCCCTCTGGCCATGTTATTAGCTAACTTGGCATGCCTAGGTCTCCACGGCAAGGGTGGGGTGAGACGGACAACGAGAGCTCGGTACTTTGAGCATTTGCACTGACGCAGACAGGGCCGGTGCTACCATTAAGGCAAACTAGGCGGTTGCCTTGGGCGCCAAGATTTGGGGGCGCCAAAAAGTGGTGCCCGAATTTTTTTTTTACAGTGTTCCTGGGCCGCTCCACTTCTCCTGCCTCTCAGGCTTGGAGTGCCAATCAGCTGTTTGGCACCACAAACCTGGGAGGAGAGGAGAATTAGAGCGGGGGCGGAGTGCTCGGAGAGGAGGCGGAGCAGAGGTGAGCTGGGGTGGGGAGCTGCCGCACGGCTCCCCAGGGGGGGAACTGTCATGGGGGGGCGCCTTGGGGCGGGGGGGGAGCTGCCGTGGGGGGGCACCTCAGGGCGGAGGGGGGGCGGAGAGCTGCCGCAGGACTGGCGGGGGGGGGGGCGCAAGGTGGAAGTTTCGCGCCCTAGGTCCTGGACGCAGAGATGCTGGGAAGAGGGAGCTGGATGACAGGCCTCAGTGCCTTGCAGCTGCTTCCAATCACCACATCCCCATTTCCGAGGGAGACGGAGCGTGTGCCAAAAAGTCCCAAGGAACCCAGTCACCATTTCCTGTTTCCCCATCCTCACTCCAGACCCGTAAATGCAGATTTTACGTAAACAAGGCAACCACAGCCCGTGGCCAACACCTCAATCAAGCCATTTCCTGCCCCGAGCTGTCCAGGAGTGGGAAGGCAGCCACTGAATCTGTTTATTTTTAATGAAGATTTTTATCTGCTGACTAACAGGCCCAACCCTACTCCCCAGTTACCCTCACCTGGGTGCCTGTGTGTCAAAAGCTCTCGCTTCCTACATGCCTTTTGCTCAGTAACATTCCCCTGGAGCCTGCCTTGGTAGCTAAACTCTGTGGGCTAACTTCTTCTCTTGGTTACGCCATGGTAAATCCAGAGCAACTCGCCGTAGCCTGGCCAGTCAGGCCACGTTGCACGCTGGGTGGCCTGCATGAGAAATGAGGGGGCGGGGAGCAGTCCTGATTTTTTAAATGCAGGTACAGTAACTCCTCACTTAAAGTCGTCCCGGTTAGCGTTGTTTTGTTGCTGCTCAATTAGGAAACATGCTCGTTTAAAGTTGTGTAATGCTCCTTTCTAACGTCGTTTGGCAGCCGCCTGCTTTGTCCACTGCTTGCAGGAAGAGCAGCCCGTTGCAGCTAGCTGGTGGGGGCTTGGAACCAGGGTGGACTGGCAGCCCCCCTATCAGCTCCCCACTCCCCTAAATTCCCTGTGCGGCAGCCACCCAGCAGGCTAGCAATTGCCGGGCAGTTCAGCTGTGTCCCTCCTCCCACTGCCATGTGCTGCTCCTGCCCTCTGCCTTGGAGCTGCTCCCATGAACCTCCTGCTTGCTGGGGGGAGGGTAGAGGGAGGCTAATGTCAGGGTGTCCCCCTCCCCCTGCTCCTGCCCCCTGCTTACCCCATCTCCATAGAGCGGGGGGGACACACGACAGGGCTCAGGACGGAGGGAGCTCCCTGGTAGCAGCTATGTCTCAGCTTGCTGATTAACTTAACAAGGCAATGTACTTCGAGTGGGGACAGCATACGTAAAGAGGCAATCTCTCTCTCTCTATCTCTCACACACACAGGGTGTGTGTCTCTGTCTGCCATGCTGTCTCCCCTCCCTCCATTCGTGCTGCCTTGTAGAGTGTGAGGCTACATTAACAACAATGTGTTAACCCTTGAGGGCTCAGCCGAATGTTAGTTCATCATTCAGCAGCAAGGCATTCCCTGGGAAATATCCCACCCTCTGACTCCACCACCTCAACCAAGCTTCACAATCATCATAGTTGTGTTCAGTATTAAATTGTTTGTTTAAAACTTATACTGTGTGTGTGTGTGTGTAGTGTTTTGTCTGGCAAAAAAAATATTTCCCTGGAACTTAACCCCCCCGCTATTTACATTAACTCTTATGGGGAAATTGGATTCACTTAACATCGTTTCGCTTAAAGTCGCATTTTTCGGGAACAGAACTACAACGTTAAGTGAGGAGTTATTATACTCTACCCACACCAGCGTTGCTCCGTCCCAGAGACTTGACCCACCCCCCGGTGCGTTTCTGTATAAAATGGCATCTTCCATGTGGCATGGCCTTGAATGTTCAGTGCGTGTGAGGTCAAAAGTGTGGGTCCCGCCCCATTGTTTCACATGGATGCATACAATTATTCGGTCAAGTCTCTCTCTTACATACACACACACAAAACTGAAATCACAGACTCCTCAGTGGGCTGTTTCCCTGAGCTGGTAGGAGTAGCAGGTTTCTTATCCTCCCTGTGGGCAGACACTAGGGGGCAACCCATTCTCACACACAAAGCCGCTCCATTACAGTGCATTTCCCCACTTCCATAAGCAACCCATCCCCAGAGCACACACCTCCTG